CATGAACTCAACATCCCCATGACAAATATCATAGGCTATTAGTCCGATACCACAACTGTAATGTTTGGACAATATAACTCAGTTTCACAATTACTCAAATCAGAATTCAGCTACGTTCAAATTGTGAAATGTTCATCCCATCTCATTCATCTAGTGTCATCTCATGCTGCCTTGAAACTCCCCAAAAGTGTGGAGGATCTATGTAGGGATGTCTAGGCGCATTTCCATCGATCTTCAAAGCGTCAAAACGTCTTTAAGGAGTTTGTTAACGTGTGTTAATGTGTAAAAAGAGTGTGTTAACCGACTGCTAGACCGGTACGAAGTGTTGAAGCAATATTTCATGTTGACAGCCAATGAAGATCCATCTCTCACTCAAACAATCGCGTTTTGTCATCATTGAAAAATTGCTTTATTCAGCCTTATTTGGAGTTTTCAAGTTACCAACTCGATCGTCTTAATGCATTTAATCGACTGTTCCAGAGTGAGCGTCCCCTCCTCCACCTGCTTAAGCCAGATATTGAGGCCCTCGTCAAATCGTTCGCCAATGATCTTATGAAAATCGACATCATTACGTCAACACACAGCTTAAGAACCTTGACCCAAGTAATGTTGAACACCATGTACCCTTACGCCAGACCTACGTTGGCATTGCAGCCCCAGCTACTCTGGACAAAATTGAGGCCGGAGCAAAGAGAAATGTTGATAAGTTTCTAACGGACTGTAAGAATTTTCTCATTGAAAGCATTCTTCAGATCCAATGTTGATTTGATCTAGATAATCCAGTTCACGAAATTGTTCAGTGCCTTTTGCTGTCTAATGCTTCTGCAGTTATGCCTCGTTCATTGTGACACATTTGTCAGAAATTGCCGTACTTGAAAGATACCATCAACATTGACAAGCTTGATATGGAGTGGAGACCCTGCGCTTCACTGGGATGAGTACTGGTTGAAAATACGGGACTCAAAGACCCCAAATGGTGAGCCAAAATACCCAGTTCTGATCGCCTTTGTCCGTTTTCAAATGTGCCAGTTGAAAGAATTTCCAGTCAACTGAAGCTGGTTAAAAATGATCAACGAAATTTGTTGAAATGAACGACATTGGTTTCTATGCTTCAAGCTAAGATGAGAATGAAGACCCACCACTTGAGTCCTGCCACTATGACAACCAGCAAAGGAATGTTAGAACTTGGAGCCAAGATGAAATCAAGTGCCACTGACGAGTGCCACAAATGACACAAAAGAGTTAAGAAAAGAATTTTTGAGAAAAATACCTCAAAGTGCCTATATCACTTGTGGGATCTTTACAGATTTGAATAGAGCTTGAAAAATTAGTTTAAAAGTTCTACAACCCTTTTTCATACAGTTAAATATTTTCGGAAATATTTACATCTAAACATGACAATTTGCCTAAATTTCTGTTGTGCTCTCACAGGCCTGGGACTCAGGAACCAAGTTCTTGTCAAACATAATATAATCAATTGTAATTTTACTTCGATCTTCCGATAACGTAAAATATTTTGAGAAAAACTCGCCCAGTTGCTACAGCCATACACAACGCACTGTTCCCACATTTTTTTCTTGAAAAGCGCAAACTATATCGCTAGTGAGACTCTTTATGAACATTTCACAGAGAAATCCGTAAATTAGGGTATGCCTATATCACAAAGTCGAAAGAAAGGTATCCCCTTACTGAAAAAGATTTGACATTGAGACAGGAATTTGCAAAATCTAGATTGAATGATTGTTCAGAGGATTCCTGGACAAAAGATGTAGAATTTTATTTTCCTTTGTTTACAAAGGCAATCCAATGAGTGATCAGATCTGGCGAAATCAGGACGAAGGTCTAGTTTTGACAACGAAAGGACGCAAAGATTTTGCAGGTGGAAAGCAATAGACCTTTCCCTTTTTAGCACTAGGCGCGCTAAGCATGACGGTAGGAGTATGCAAAGTTGCTTTCGAACAAAATGGCTGCCGTATGTGCGGTGAATTTGGTGCGAGAGAATAATCGGCGGATTTTTAACATCATTTCGTGTCCATCGGATGTTTGTTTTCTTGGAAAATTGCGAGGTTCGTCACTACAAAACGACAAAATTTCATGACGATCTGGGCGTTAAAAGCGATAAAAATCCGTCAAGAAGGTGCCAAGTTGTGAAAAATCTTCGCTCAAATTTGTTGGCGAAAAGTTTACTAACGTCTACTGAAACAGGTGAGTTCGCTTTTCAACTTGCGATCGGCTGATTATTTTTACAAAATAAGCGTAACTGATTGTGTTTCTATTTGGATCTCAGCAGTATTTTACTTTTATTCTTGTGCAAATATCGTTTTAGGCTTCCAGAAATTGGCATATGTTGCCATGATTTTGTTCGAATTTGTCACTAAGCTGCCCTTGGCCACAGAGCATACAGAGGTTTGACCTTGCATTAATTATGTGTTCCTAGCGGCCATGTTGTTAGCCAGTGCGCTAAAGAGAGGCCCTATCCCCCCCCCAAACATTATAAATAGCCATCGCTATATAAATAAACAGATTGCTCCCACTTCTATACTCTTCTAAAGGATAAGAACTAACAAAATCTGGTTTTTAGAAAAAAATTGAGCAACGTTTTTGTCAAAAATACGATTTCTCCAGATAGTTCTGTCTCGGCTGTTTATATTCTGTTTATATTCCAGACATGTGTTCAAGCCGCCGCCATATGCATTCTTTCCCGGGGGGAGAAGGCCTCTCTTGAGTGAACTGGCTAAGCCAGGGGTACGCAAAATTAATGGCAGTCAAACCTCTGTATGCTCTGTGCCTTGGCCCTCGGAAATGTTTTTAGCTTGTTTTGGCGCGAAAATACCCGTATTTAAGTAAGGAACACAGGCCGTAGCAACAATGTATAAATTTGAAAGTGTTACTGCATAGGTTCATACCCTCCACTGTAATTTCATAAATTTTTGTCGGTTATAGAATATAAATTTAATCTTTTTAACAATATAACATAGTAAATAAACATTTAGATAGGATATTTTAGGTAAATTGGTTTAAGATAGTTTAAAATTAAATAGATAGGATATTAGGATAAATTAAATTAAATATATAGGATAGATAGGTAAATTGAGTTAACATAGATTATAGTTTGAAATTAAATAAATATACACTGCTGTTAAGGAACGAGTAAACTGTTTATAGTTTAGCCTACTTAAAGTTTGGACAATATTTGAGTCTGCGATATGCATGGATCGCGGGCGTCTGAATCGCAAAAGGAACGTTGCTGTTGAATATTTTTGTATTTTTTGTTCTGTATTATTTGCCTGAGACTTATAGCGAAAGTAGATGACTTTTAGAGGGATTTGATTCGGTCTAATTACTCGACAGTTTATAAGGAAACAATTGACCCTTCGAACCGGATCCTGTACTTTAACAACTACAAAGACGAGAGAAATTTCAAGAGACAAATCAGCGAGTTGAACTGGATTTAATCCAATATGGCGGCCAGTCAGGGACTAATATAGCAGAAAAACAAGAGGTAGCTGAATTTTCTGAAAGTAACTCAAGTAAGACAGTTCTAAGTTTTCGTAATAACAAACTAGGGATCCAAGGATAGTGTAAAGTTTTCATGCCCTGTAATATCTAAGCAACCAGACGTTTGTCCCAACATAGACATTTTGACTTATACCAGTAAAAATATAACGAACTAGGTTAAACATTAATCAAAAGGAAATTACTCAAAGTAGTCAAATTATGTTAGCTGCGGTACTGTCACTATTAAATTATAGCTAATTTTAGTTGCCCATGTAAACCGGCCAAACCGGGCACAATTTTCTCAATGTAGTCTATTTTCTTCGTCAAACAACTGTGACTACATTCACTACATTTATATGATGGCTACAATTTATCCGTCACTTCATAAGAATAGCCAAAATAGTTGCGTTGCAAATAATGTAAATAAACCGAGGTGCATATTATGTCTATGATGTGGATACTTCGACGCGTAAATCGATACAAAACAATATACTTATAATCAATACTGTATACCGCCAAAATGATTTGATTACTGCACAAAATGTCCGTTTTGTATAGTATCATTTATGTACTGTATGCAGAATATCAGGTATTGACTTGCTATCGACATAATATACATTCGTGTAAGAGTCTATCAATACATAAACAACACAGCGTCGTTTCTTCCTAACCTCTTAGCTCTATTTATGGAATAAACCTTCCAAATTATATTTGTGTTGAATTGAATGCTCGTAATTCATAACCTAAGTTGATAAAGTGCGTAGATTCTCAAAGAATTGCTAGATTTTTACGCCTGGAATGTTTCGAAGCAATGCTCGTCGCTCCTCGTTTCTTTACATCGTGAATAATGTTCAAGTCTCGACGGCACATGTGCAGTTGCAACGTGTAAGAAAGAATCGGGTGTTCCGGGGGGGGTAATTCTGCGCAAATCCCTTTAAAACAAAACCCAAACCGCGGAAAAGCAATGCTTCAAAATTTACAGTAACCGCCAAAATCCCTCAATATTTTGGTGAACTTTGCAAAAGGGGTATAGTGCATTAATAAATAAAGCAAGTTAAACTGATTTAAAAACCTTAAATTACTGATCATATACAAAAAGTTACTATACACATAAATCAACCTACCCCCTGTAAAGTTTACACTATGACTGACTGACTGACTGTCTGACTGACTTACTGACTCGTTTGAACTTTCGCCACTCATCACAATATTGCAAAGTTTGTCAAACTTTGCACAAAAAATTGACCAAAACCTGTTTAACAAAGGCAAAAAATAAATTAACTGGTCTAATTGAAGCAAAAGGTGAAGATATTCCTTTGCTCGGTAAAAATGCTGTTCGAAGAGCCATGGACAGGGTCAAGTCTGAAATGCAAATTATTACAAATATCATTGATAAAATGAGAGAGCTTATCGCAGTTAATGAACATGCATCTGATACTAATTCCATAATAGAGGCATTAGATAAGGAATTAGATGACATTGGAATTTCATTTGATTTTATCATGGAAGCAGCTACCAACCATCTGCAAGCTAAACTTGATGCTGGTGAGAATGAGTCTGTTTTGTCAAATGGTAAAACCTCACCTCATTCAAAAGCTTCAGTTAGTGAAAAATCGTCATTGAGATCTGATGTTAAATCAAAGAGCTCTGTCCAAATGCAGGCTTCTATGGCAGTAAAAGAACAATTTCTGCATGCAACGTCACTTACTCAAATCGAACTGAATGCTACCCAGACTGAAGATAGACTTAAAGAAATGGAAAAAGAGCAGAGTGAAAAAGAAGCACAGATGAAAAAGATCGCAACAGAGCTAGAACTTAGTAAACAACGTACAGAGGAAGCCAGAATAATAGCAGAGATCAACAAATCTAAAGCAGAAAAAGCTACTGCCCAAGATCATGGTATTGTACAGGATTGCATTCAAGATGAATTCACAGTCACCTCTATACCCAAACTAGGACAGGTTTTGGCATGCTCAGCTTTTCATTTGAAGGGTGTTAACTTACCTAACTTTTCTGGATATAACAAGACAGAGTATGAAAGCTGGAAAGCTGCTTTCAATGTTATGGTCGACTCTCGAAATATATCAGTTGGCGCAAAGATGTTGCGTTTGCAGAATAGTCTTTCGGGAAAGGCTTTAGATATGATCAAGGCTTTGGGTTTCTCAGAAGCTGCCTACGAGCGAGCAAAAGTAAAACTCGAGAAGCGCTTTGGCGGTGAACGAGGACAACAAATCAAGCACTTGACCACTCTGCGAAATTGGCCGAAACTCAGACCTCGCAATCTGCAAGATTTGGAGGAATTCCAAGCCCTACTGGAACAAATCTTGATCAATATGAAAGACGGTGCCCCTTTGCAAGACCAGAGTTTGAACTTATCTGCAAAAGAAAAACTGACAGAGATTGATGTTCAGAATTATAAACACTGGCTTTTGGATCATGCTCAAGAAGATTGCTTCAAATCATTGGTGGACTGGATTGAGTTGCGCATTAATGTAATGGAAGAAGCTAAAGAAAAAACTGGTGCCCTTCATAGGAGAGAGCAGGAACGTTCTAACAGATTGAGAGACGACAAGAAACCACACTTGGGCTTCTCGGCGAGATCCTTGTACAGCAAGTGTTGTGTTGTGAGCACTTGTAAAAAAGACCACCCTCCTTGGGTATGCAGCGCATTCAAGGCACTGCCAGTGGCCAAGAGAAAAGAACTAATAGCTAAAACTGGTCGTTGTTTTCGTTGTTTGGCTGCAGGCCACCATGCCAAGAATTGTTCAAAGTAAAGAAAGTGTGGCATAAATGGATGTGAGAGTGATGGTCATACCAGTTACCCTCATGAAGAAACATCAAGCGATGTATCAACAAGATGCCAGTTATCAACCAAGTCGCCCCCTTTCTACCCCAACCAACAAGCAGCAGGGGATCCTCCACATGTTCCAGCGACACCTGGTACTGAAAATGCTCAATCAAGATCCAAACAGTCTAATGGGCAGCGAGCATACAAAACAAGCAGAGCCGACAATGTGTCTCTAATGGTTTTGCCTGCATTGATCAGCAATGGAAGAAAAGACCTACAAGTTAATGTTATGTTGGATCCATGTTCCACAGGTTCTTATGTCTCGGAGGCAGCTGCCAATTAGCTTGAATTGAAAGAACCGGAATTTGACCTGACAATTGCAGGCACAGGTGGAGCTGAGGTACATAAAAAATCGAACCGAGTGACTTTTTCAGTAGCTAGCCCAGATAAGAATTTTTCTTCCCAACTACATGCAAACGTCCTCGACAACATTGCTAGTGATACCCCTGCCTTCCCATGGTCCCAGCTGAAAGAAAACTGGCCACACTTACACTCGATTCCCTTTGAGAGACGGTGTCGAAACGGTTGTGTATTGATGTTATGATTGGGAGGGACCACCCGCTTCTTCACCTTGTTATCGAGGAAGTATCTGGAAATCACCCACAGGATCCTATTGCTCGATTGACTAACCTTGGCTGGGTGTGTTTTGGTCCTGCATTGGCTGAAAAGAATCCTCGTAGCAGATCCCGAAGTAACTTTGCTTGGACATATCGGACAAGTCAAGCTCTGACACAGACACAACTTGACGACACATTATGCAAATTCTGGGAACTCGAGTCGATTGGTATACGGGATGTGAAACAAGAGATGTCAATGGAAGAGAAGAATGTCGTAGAGAAGGTTGCAAATACTCTTTCATTACGTGATGGCCGATACACCGTTGGTGTTCCGTGGAAAGAAGAGGAGGTGGGACTAAGAATAACTATGAAGCTGCGCTTGTACGACTACAAAGCCAAAAAAAGTCGTTGAAGAAACGGGGTGTAGACATAATGGAGTCTTATGGCAACATTTTCATGGACTATAAGCAAAAGGGTTACATAAAGAAAGTGCAAAAGTCGGACAGCGAAAAACAATGGTTTTTACCCCATTTCCCAGTCATTAGACCAGAAAAGAGCTCGACGAGAGTTTGTGTCGTCTTTGATGCCGCGATGAGGTACGAAGGTAAAAGCTTGAACGACGCCATTCACACTGGACTGAAGATGCAGAGAGAAGTAGTCGACGTCCTTACTAGATTTTGTAGAGCCCTGGTTGCGCTTATGGCTGATATCTCTGAGATGTTTCTGCAAGTAAAGCTCCACGAACCAGACCGCGCCTATCACCGCTTTTTTGGCGAGAATTTCATACGTCCAGAGACCCAGACGTGTACGAGTTTCAAAGACTAGTGTTTGGGAACACTGCATCGCCTTTCTGCTCTCAGTACATTCTTCACAGCCATGCTCAAGAGAACAAGGGAACTTTTCCTGAAGCTGCAGACTCTGTGGACAACGCCATGTACGTGGATGATCTTTTGGATTCTGCTGAAACGGTCGAGAGTGCTAAGTCGTTGCAAAGCCAGTTGTCAAATATGTTGAGTGCAGCAGGATTCAACTTGCGAAAGTGGGCTTCGAATAAACCTGCTGTCCTGGAAAATGTGCCACCAGCCAACCGTCTCCCTATTGTTGAGCTCAGCGATGGAAAATCACCAAAGACCAAGACCCTTGGCGTTTTGTGGGAAGCTAGCCGTGACGTATTCATTTTCAAACTAAAGTCATCACCCCAACGAAGCGAACTGTTCTCAGTGCAATTGCGTCACTTTACGACCCGCTGCAGTTCCTCTCCCCATTCGTGATAAGAGCCAAGATCTTATCATGATCTGGACCGAAGGATTGAACTGGGATGATGTACTGCCTGAAGTCTTGAAGGTGAAATGGAATTGTTGGACATCCCAACTGCCAGATCTTTCAAAAGTCTCCATTCCAAGCTGCTTGCGTCTCCCTGATCCAGATACTGTTGAACTGCACTTGTTCTTCGATGCTTCACAAGATGCGTATGGCTCTGTAGCTTACCTAGTTGGCCGCTACAAAGACCTCCCTTCCACATCACGTATTGTTGCATCAAAGTCCCGCGTTGCTTCACTAAAAGCCGTCACCATTCCGAGACTAGAGTTGTTAGGTGCCGTTCTTTCTACCCGACTAAGCATTAGCGTCTCGCACGTTTTGACTGTTGATCATATTGTATTTTGGACTGACGCAGAGAACGTCTACGATTGGGTGCAAAACCAAAGTCGTTTGTTCAAACCATTTGCGGCAAACCGTATCGCCGAAGTCCAACGCACCTCTAACCCGGAGCAGTGGCACCACGTGCCTGGAGAAATGAATCCGGCAGATGCTGCAACCAAAGGCCTGACCGCCGTTGAATTGAGCTAAAGCAGTTTTTGGATGGAGGGTCCATCTTTTCTCAAGAGCGACGAGTCCTGTTGGCCTCCATCACCAAGAAAAGACGTTGCAAAGGTGGATCCAGAGAAGAGATCTATACTCAGTATTTATTTCTGTTGCCGACTATTCCAGTCTGAGACGGTTGTATTGAGTGACGTGCTGGATAAAACACTTTATTCACAACTGTAGACAGAACTTAGATCTTAAGCGGAACTTTGTTCAGACATTGTCGCCGACTGAACTTAAAGAAGCTGAAGAATTTTGGGTCAAGCGATGCCAGTCTGAAGCATTCCCGAACGGAGTGAAGGAGCCAGGGAGTGTCGAAGGAGATTTAGAGTTCAGACTACTAGGCAAATCATGGCACCTTTGCCCAAAGAACGGCTACAGTCCTTACGAGCATTTGACAATGTTGGCATAGACTTTACTGGCCCTTTTCTGACAAAGCAAGGTCGTGGGAAGAGCCGCACAAAACATTATCTCTGTTTGTTCATGTGCCTAGCGACCAGGGCAGTCCATTTGGAGATGGCATATCATTTGGATACTGACTCGTTTGTGAGTGCCTTTACACGCATGACATCAAGGAGGGGAACACCTTACGTGATTACCGACAACGGAACCAATTTCGTTGGAGCAGAATGAGAGATCAGAGAGCTGGTTCAACGACTGGAGCAAGATAAAATCTTTGAGATGATGGGCAAGTACCATCCCATCGAGTGGAAATTCAACCCCCCTTCCGCCCCACACTTTGGCGGGGTGTTTGAGGCAATGGTGAAAAGTGCCAGAAAAGTGATAAAAGCCATCTTTAGAAATGCTGAGATAAACAACGAAGAATTGCACACGGCCATCTGCGGAGCTGAGAAACTATTAAATTCTAGACCTATCACTTACGTAAGCTCGGACCCTCAAGATCTGACGCCTTTAACACCAAATCATTTTCTCGTAGGAGAAGTAGGGGTACATTTGCTCCGGAGGCTATGGACAAAGTCGAGGCATGTCATCCGGTGAAACTTGGTGAAACGTTGGCATAGGGTTCAACAACTTCTTCACCATTTCTGGAAACGCTGGCAAAGAGAATTCCTTCCACAGCTGAATCTCCGACGGAAATGGTTTCATCCAAGACATAACATTGCGGTAGGTGATGTCGTTTTAGTGGCTGAACCACAGAACAATCGAGGAGAGTGGCCTTTAGCACATATTACGGAAGTCTTTCCTGATAAGAACGGAATGGTTAGAGTTGTAAAGTTGTGGTCGAATGGAAAGGAATACAGGAGACCGGTGCACCGCCTGAGTCCGCTGAAGTACGTTGACCAGAAAGGATGACAATTAAAAGGATTTGTTATAATTGTTAAACTTTTGGACTGTTATCTTGTCAGTCACTTTCGAATGCTATGCATTTGGGAGGGGAATGTTAAGGAACAAGTAAACTGTTTATAATTTAGCCAACTTAAAGTTTGGACAATATTTGAGTCTGCGATATGCATTGGATCACGGGGGTCTGAATCGCAAGAGGAATGTTGCTGTTGAATATTTTTGTATTTTTTGTTCTGTATTGACTTTTAGAGGGATTTGACTCGGTCTAATTACTCGACAGTTTATAAGGAAACAACTGCACTGTAAGTGTCAAATGAGTGTCAATATAAGTGTCAATATAAGGATACAAATTTTTAAACCATATAATAATTTATGGAGAGTGAACCAAGCACTTTGCATGAGATGAATAATAGTGAAACGTTTGAAATTACTTGTCAAAGAATGTGTAAATGACACTGAAAAGTGATAGAAAAAATCCTGAGATGTCATTTTATAAAATTCCAAAAAATCCAGAGTTCAGGAAAAAGTGGGTATGTTTGTTGAAAAGAAAAGGAATAAGGGACCCTGGATCCAGTCATAGAGTATGCTCAACACATTTTGTATGTGGTGCAAAAACATACAGCAACAATGTTCCATCAATTTTTGCCACTACTACAAGCAAACCTAGGAAAAGCCAAACTATTTGGACCAGGGACGTGGCGAATGTGTTCGATGAAAATGACCAATTTTTTGGGACCTGAAGGAACATTTTTGTTTCACAATTAAATGATAAAATATAACTTGTATGCCTGCGTGGTCGCGTGAGTGATCATCGTAGAGAGCTCCTGCACCGCTGAGTCGACAACAATAACGATCTAAAACTATGAGATCAAAATGTGACGTATCTAATTTATCTAATAAAATTAGTTAATGATTTTATTGACTTTATAAAACTTAATCAAATTTCTAAACGGGACTAACTCGGTAAAAGTTTCCTAACTAACATGAAAAATTAAAGTTTTAGTCAGCTAGTGCAAACACACTCGAACAATATACAGTTTCCATCGAGCTAAGCAATGCGAATTCGTCAATGTCTAACGGCCGCCCAATTATCTACTACACTTTGCAGGTCAATTTTGTCAACAATGTCCCACTCGCAGTTAAGTAACATGAGATGATCCAACCTTCTCTGAGACACCGTACTTCTTAAGTAGGTTTTAAGGAGCTTAAACCGGCTGAATGATCTTTCACTCTTACACACGGATGGCGGCGAGGTTAGTAACAAACGATGGACTTTGGCAACGTGCGGGAAAAGGTTGTGCTTGCGATCACATTGTATGGCGAGGTTTGCTGCGTCGCGAAGTGTAAAAGGCTCTTGGGACTCTTTCCATTTTGCTTTCTCTTTCTCACAATGTGAATGGAAAACTTCTAACTCGGCTGCCAGAGCATCTGGGTCTGGAATATCAACAGGGAAGACTGCAGCAAGTGATGCCACATCCTCGAGTCGTAAAGAATTATCGAAGGTGTTAATCTTGGACAACAGCACGCTATGCATTGTGTCTAAATACATAAAAACTTC